CATGTGCTTTTTTTGTTTGTCTTAAATTTTTCGGTATGGTTTTGTGGTCATTTGCTGCGGTGGGTGATTGTGTGCACATTTTGTTCAGATGTTATCACAGTGGTGTATTAAATACTAATAGTTTGAACTTCATTCATTATTTCATAAGGCAGTCTACCTAAAAACAAAGGTGGTAACTCCATACCTCGAAAAAAATCAGACCATGTCGTTATATTCAATAGCTTGAAGAACAGTGTGAACCAAAGCTTTAAGTCTTATGCATTTTTTTAGAATATTGCTGCAATCATTAAATGTATATAAACATATATAAAAAAAAAAATGCAATAACTGCTGGATTAAAATATGGTCCCTGTTTGAAGAAAACCACCACTTCCCTCAAACTAATGGGAGAAGAGAGGGGGAATTCTGGCCTTAAGGTCTGACAGGAAGTCTGTTTAACACACTGAGTGGGGGGAAAAAAAATCAGGTTTTCTTGGGACAGCGACTAAAAAAAACTGCAGTGCACTGTCATTGAGTTTAGTATTTTAGTTTGTGTGCTTCTGAATGTTCACTGCGTTTGTGAAGGCACTTTCCTGTTTTCCATGAGCACAAGGCTGCTGCCATACTAAGAGTGCTTAGAGAATGTTTTCCCAATACACGTCTGGAGTGTACGACTTGTCCTGTCAGTCTGGCCAAGTGTGTATTAATTGTGTGAAGAAATGTGTGCTTTTTAGTCGCTATCATTGAAGGGTTAATGTTGGATGATTTGGCTGCAAGTAAAGCTGCCTAAAAAAAAATTATTTTCATGTGACATGATCGCTGATACAGTGATTTGTTTATGCAAATAAATTGATGACCAGAAACTGATGTCTTGTGCTGTTTTTAATGCAAACAAAAGAGAAAAAAGAAACCTGTACAAAAATGTGGTAATGGTTTGAGCACTTTGATGTCAGTTGAACTTTAAGAAAAAGTGAATATTTGAATTTCACTCAAAGAGAAGAGAAACAGCCGTGCTGGCATAATAGACGATGAAGATAACAGAGCTTCACGTTTCTGTGGTCTGAGTGTCAGAGCTGTAGTCCACTCTTTCAAGCAGCAGGATGGTTTCACAGTGCATGGTCTGGGGGAAGAGGTCAACAGCCACAGCTCTCACTGGACGGAAAGGGGCTCCTCGCACACGGTTAGAAACAGCTCTGCAGAGACTTCAAGACATAAATATACGTTTTAGAATAACAAAGTTAATTGGGAATATTTTATATTTTCAGAAGAAAGTCGACCTGAAATAATTTGCCATGTTTTTTTTTTTTGAGCCAGGAAAAAGGTTTGCCTTTTTATAAATATAATAAGCCTCTGATTTCCCTTTTGGCTGATGTCACGCATTTCTCTCATATTTCAACTTTTCACTCAAACCACCACCATTCTGATATGTAATGCCCATCAAAATGCAATCAATTCACAATAGTTTGGTTGTTGCTATCCTGAATTTGATGTGTAATTTGTTCACTTTAAACCGAAAATAATGAACTTACTCAATAAAATTGTTCATCGCTGCTTTGGCATTGCAGGCGACGTAGATGAGTCTCTTCAGATGCTCTGCTCTTCTGATTGCTAGAATAACTTTGGAATCTGGAAAGAATGAGAATATTTGGGCAGAGAACTTAAAAACAAAACACCATGCCTACAAGTGAAAAATTACGTTCAGGAGTACTGTACGTACGTAGCCCTGCTCTCGGAGGGTCAACGATTGCTGTGACGTTGGGGGACACAACAGCATTAAGAACAGTGGGGAACACATCTTCAGCCTTTCCACAGTGGAATTCCACATTGGTCAACCCTGAAAATGTACATTTGAAGTATGAATATATCATGGGAGATGAAGAGAGAGAAAAACAAGGCAATGATAATGCCATTCTGGCCTACCGTTAGCTTCAGCGTTAGCCTTCGCATCATCCACTGCCTCCTGGCACAACTCTATGCCAATCACCTTCTTCACTCTCTGTTAACACACACAATTGTTTTTGTTGTTGCTCTGTTCATTACTCATATTTTTAGAAGCAAACGCCGCACCTTTGCCAGCGAGATGCCGATGGTTCCTGTTCCACAGCACACATCCAGCACAGTGCTGTCCTGGTCCAGTTGTGCCCATTCACCCACAGCAGAGTACAGAACCTCAGCAGCAGGGGTGTTCGTCTGGCAGTATCAAAAATCATAATATTATAAACATTTCAATAGCGCTAACGTAGGACATTTAAACTGGAGGTCAGTATTATTATCCTGTACCTAATATTCTGAATCACATACACGATGGCTTAAAGGAATCAGCTGCCTGGTGCCTTATCAAGCATCATAGTATTAATTTCCAAGAAATTATACAACAGTCAATTTGTCAGGAGGTTCACCTGAAAGAATGAGTGTGGAGAGATACGGAATTTTAGTCCGAGAAGCTCTTCGTGAATCCATTCTTCTCCAGTCACGTGTTCACATGGCAGGTCCTCTGTACCCGCAGATGTCCTGGGTTGATGCAGATTAATAAAAGAATGTGTAAAGGCATCTAAAATCTAAATTTGGGGTCTTACCTTTGTCCCATTCTCACAAAATACAACGAAGTGATGGCACTTTCTTTTCCTTCTCCTTCAGTAAAATACTGACGCAGGTTTCGTTTCAGTTCCTCAATTTCTTCTTCTTGGAGTTTCTAGGTTGTTTAAACAAGTAAATATTTCATGCAGCAGTAACAATAGATCCACAACCAACATCTAAAGTGGACACAAAAGCAACCACTGAATAAATCTCTTACTTGTGGATTGAAGAAAACAATGGCCATTGTTTGCTTTATCCTGCTTGTTCGGACTGTTAGCTGCCGCCAATGACCCTCATAAGTCTCTGGACTGTATACTGCATAGGGAGTTGTCCTGTTCAGAATATCAATACAAAATCATTTAATAAATACATATACAATGGCTGATGGGTAATGCAGACAAATACTTTACCCCTGGAATTAAAAAAAAAACTAATCTGACTTCATAAATATGGTTAGATTTGGATGCACATTAGGCATAATCAACAGTTAACAACAGAATTATTTCATTTACCTGATGAACTGCTGGAAGCCCTGCACAACCCTCTTGGCCTCAGAAGATACATGGGTGGTTTCTGATGGACTCACTACAGCACAGGATCCTCCTTTATACTTGCCTAAACGAAAGCCCACTGTCTTATCCTCTCCATCTGCTCCCACTCCAATCACAAACTCACACTTATTCCTGTACTCCGTCTGCAAGGACAAATTCTTTATTAGATAATGACAAATCACATTCAATCATACTATTTCCACAGACTGTATTAAACAAACTATTTATTATGCATCCATTTATTGATCACTCAACCCTTCACATACTTTATGATAGTTATTCTGTGAGTTAATTAAAGTGTGACTGTGATTAGAATAATTTATGTAAGCACAGATGATTTACCTGCACAGGTGATGGTCGTATGGCCTCGAGTGGGCAGCACATTTTGTTGTACTTCTCTTTTTGAACAAACAACCAGGGAAGCATGGCTTTGTTGTTGTTGCCAATTTCTCTGAGAACAATTATCAAGGAGGCTGGTTATATTGAAGGAAAACTTTACTGACCAGCTTTTGCTATACTACTAGAAGCTCATGTATGAACTATATGTTTGACAATGTCATGCAATTTATCTATTTTTTGCTATTTATAAAAGAAACATCTGGAAGCCATCCATGCATACGCATGCCACCGGACCCATCAGAAAATACCTGGTCAGTTTCTGGAGAACACCTTCAATTTCTTTCTCTTTCCTTTTCAGCTGTTCTTCATAAGGCACGTTCCACAAGGGTGTCACAGCATTGGCAATCTGGACATTGAGAGGTTCTTCTTCATCCTCCTCTCCCTCCTGGCTACCGGCTGCACGTTTTGCACCAGGCTGTCCACCTTCCGCTTCCTCCTCTTGTTTCCTCTTCTTGAGGATGGGATCAGCTTTGGGCTTGGCCAGCCGTACACTCAGCACTTTACTCTTCCACTGCATGCCGTGCACTGCCTTCATGGCCTTGTCCCTTTCCTCCTGATTCTTAAAAGTGACAAAGGCAAACATCTGTTTGCTAAACAGCTTGATTTTGTGAGGATTGATCCCATGCTTGTTGAGGAACTTCTTCAGGTCATTAAAACCAATGTACTTGGGCAAGTTTTGAATCTCAACTTTAAAGATCTCGGAGGTGAAGAGATCTCCTTTGATGTAACGGTACACACCACCTGCTGCACCCTCTCCTTCTGCTGCGGTTGCTGGTGGATTCTCTTGGTTTTTCTCTTCTATTACATCATCTGGTTCTTTCTCTATGCTGGGTAATGAACCAGCTGGATCAGCCTTGTCAAGAGCAACGTCTGTCATTTTGTCCTGCATCAAAGGCCAACGGAACATATTATTAGATATCTTTTTTCTTTTTCATTTTGTATTCAAATAGGTGATCTTAATGTTCAGTAAATCAGTTTCAGCAGTGTTCTGCAATGTGCCATGGTGCAATTGTGTAAATGTGTATTTCTACTTTAATAATTAATTAATTAATTCAGGACCATTAAAAAACAAATGGAACAGTGACCAGTTACAGCATCTAAGATCCCAATACATAAGTGAATTGACATGTTTATGTGTCAACTAATGGACACTACAAGGCTAAAAAAAACCAGACTATATTTTTAAGACGATTAAATGCCAAACAAATCGCAAGCGAAGTTAATTCTGATATATCTTTAGACCGTCTGAACAAACCTGCAATGTCAAATCTCCTTGTTATTCAGTCAGTGTTCTTCGCTATGAAACATTAAGGAGCTCTAAAAGCACTATGCTGTTATGCACGCATGCAAGCTGCCATCTTTAGAAACACGTGTCAAAATTGTGGGAACGCCGGTTAAGGTCTATTCCTCTATTTAGTCAAATCTAGCTGTGTAAGACTAATTGTTTTAAATATACTACTTAAATTTAGATCACAAATAATATTCAAAATTATTTGCGTTTAAACGTTTAATTTTATTTAATTCCAGAGCAGCGCTTAATTTTATCTAGCGCAAAGGAGCTGGGACATTTATTTTGAAGTGTAACAAAACTGGCGAAAATAAGTGCCTTTACTCTGACGGACCAAGAAGTTTTGGCTGGAAAGGTTAGTGTTCGGAAGAGAGAGAGAGAAAAGCGTAAATGACTAACAAGTGCTGTTAAACATTACGTGATTGTCTTTAAAATTATCACCGGGGGATGAACTGCCAGATTATTGAATGAGAGGCCAAGCACCTTCGACAGTAGCTGTCTAGCTCGCTGCTATCTGATACGAAGACAGCGCAAATTACTGAGGAAAGTCGCGCTTATTCAGACTCGGTTCTGAAGGACTTCAACTGAACTTTAACAAGGGATGGACGACCCCGCAGTACTGGAGATTTGGGTTTGATTAGAATAACGACTAACAGCGGGGTTTTCAGTGGTCAGATGTGGCTGCTGGAGACGGGAGACGTGTCACTGATAAATAAAGCAGCTGGAGTTAAGAGCCACAGCGCTGACATCCATCCATCCATCGGTCCATTCAGCTCGGTCCGCCCCACAGGGGGAGTCCATCCAGCCTCTATCCCGGACCTGTAGGATTTTATTTACCCTAAACTTCACCGCCCGGGGAATTTAACACTTCTTAACCCCACTCTGGTGTGGAAAGACGTGTTTTGTCAGGATGGGTTCGTTGTTTCGGAGTGAGGAGATGTGTCTGGCCCAGCTCTTTCTGCAGTCCGGATCCGCTTACGACTGCATCAGTGAACTCGGCGAACTCGGGCTGGTGGAGTTCAGAGACGTAAGTCGGTGTATAGCGTCTTGTTTGTGTATTTCTTGTTTGAAATATTAACTTGGATAGTGCTGAGCTGACAGCTTCACGCACGTTGGCTATCGATTATACTAACGTTATGCTCGGCACACTAGGTTTTCGTAGACCAGACCACCCACACATTTCTGTCAGATACCCACATAAACTGTTGGTATGCTTCAAAAATGCATAAATTTTTTGGCACGCGTTGTGTTCTTTACTCTCATTATTAAGTCATTAACAAACATAGTTTTATATAATGTTTAACTGTAAGTGTAAGAAATGTTAGAAATGCATATTTCAATTAATTATTATCATTATTATTTCTTAATTATTATTATTAACATTATTATTGTTCATATTTTTATTGCATTAACTAGTATTAAAGGTATTGTTTTGAATGTATTAGTATAGAATGTTTTGAATATGTGTAGAATATTCCAGTCATCCTGGATCTGTTTTGATATATATTTTCTTTCTCTTTTTTTTTTTCCAGCTTAACCCAAGTGTGAACTCTTTTCAGCGGAAGTTTGTCAATGAAATCAAGAGATGTGAAGAAATGGAGAGGATTCTGGGTAAAAACTTAAATTAAACTAGTGCTCTCAAACGATTAATCGCGCGATTAATCGCATCCAAAATAAAAGTTGTTTTTTACATTATATATGTATGTGTACTGTGTATATTTATTATGTGTATATATAAATACACACACACACACATACATACAGTATATATTTTGAAAATATTTACGTTTATACATTTATATATTCATATTATAAATATATTTAATATATAAACATAACATATTTTTCTTAAATATACACATGCATGTGTTTGTATTTATATATACATAATGAATATACACGCATATATTATGTAAACAAAATCTTTTATTTTGGATGCGATTAATCGCGATTAATCATTTGACAGCACTAAATTAAACGTATTAGATTAACTTAGATTCATTAAATTCTTTAATAAGGGCATACTTCAAAATGATAGTCTTAGTACTTTCTGAACACAAAGCATGTTCATGATGGTTGAGTTATTACCAAAAACAGTTGTAGTACAAATAGCAATTTTTCTTTAAAATATTTGTGAATGAGTGATGGGCTGGACCATTAGGTTATTTAATTTTAGAGTTTATAAACAGTGCATTCAGGTTAATTCAGTAGATTAAGATTGGCATGTGATGGCACTTGAGAAACAGACATTAAATCTAATTAAAATCCCCCAAAGTAAATCAACAGAATGAACTCAAAGTGGACTTGTATAACAGGATATCTTCTGCGGGAAATCAAAAAAGAAGACATCCCACTGCCAGAAGGGGAGGTGAACCCAGCTGCACCATTACCCAAACATGTGATGGTCATAATGGTGAGATCAGTTCAGCGCTGTTCATTTGTTTAACTCTTGTGATTAGTTGGTCTTTCAGACACATTCAAATGTCTTTTCTGTTCCGTTTTCTCACAGCCAGTTGCCTAGTTTCTGCTTCTGTTTTCTTTCTTTTATGGCTGCTTAGCTCAGTTCAAGACATTTTGTTAAATAATTTTAAAGATAACTTTTTACAAAATGTTAAGTTTGAAAATGTCTGCTGATAGAATGTTTGTCATTCAAAATGTAAATATAAAATATTTGCCTATTGAATTGGGATTTAACCTTTATTTAATAATTTTATCGCATGTATTGGATGTCGTTGAAATGTTTTTTTTCAGTTCCTTGCTAGGTCTCTCTCAGGAACACTTTCCTCAATGTCAGTGCACTGCTTACAACATTGATATATGACTGCTGATATTTAGTTACTACCGATTCCTGTGTGTTCTGTTTAGGAGCAGCTTCAGAGACTGGAACTGGAGCTGAGTGAGGTCACCAGGAACAAGGAGAAACTCCAGAAGAACCTTCTGGAACTGACTGAGTACACACACATGCTACGCATCACACGCAACTTTGTGCACCGCAGTGCAGAGGTAGGTCATGTGATTCCCTGTCAAATGTTTGGAACATCTGTTTGAGCAAAAGAAACGGGGAACGTCTGATTGGTGGAAAGATTTAGCCTGCCTTTGTTGTTCATTATATCACTAATATTGTTAAGCAAACAGCTCTTTATAAATCAAATATCTTTAAAACTCTTGCTCAGTGTACTGTCTGCAGTTTGTCTGTTGATGTCTTTGGTATCATGTTCGACCTCTCTGGTGTAATTGAAAGGAATTCATCTCCAGAGAAAAGGACTGTGGGAATCCCGCAGGTGATTTGGAGTCACCTGATTTTCACTGACTGCCAGAACTTTGCGAGGAGCCAGCAGTGGCTTTACAAATAGGCTTAACTCTTGACGACTTCTTCTTGATCACCGAGGCGTTGTGTGAATCTAATCTCTTGCTGGGTTTTTGCTTGTGTATGAGCAGAGGAGGCCGTCACAGGTTCAGTATGAAGAGTTTCCCTTCCTAGAGAAAGAACCCATGATGGACTACACCAGCATGCAGAGGCTTGGAGCCAAGCTTGGGTGAGCAGTGTTTAAAAATATAAAGCTGAAAATATACTGCTCTTGCCCATGTCCTGCTTTGGCTCACCAACAGTTAATGTGAAAGAATTTTCATCATCAGCACAGTTTCCTGTTGCACACCTTCCATGCAAACTGATTTTTCTTTTAAAATCATCTTTTTTATCCAACATCCTGTTTCTTGTATGCATGTTTAAAAGCACACAAAACCTGTGTTTTTGAATTCATGTTAGTGTTGTAAAGTGGAGCTCATATTCTTCTTGTCCCTCCTGCACAGGTTCATTTCTGGGCTCATCCAGAGCGTAAAAATCGAGGCGTTTGAGCGAATGCTGTGGAGAGTGTGTAAGGGCTACACCATCCTCAGCTACTCGGAGGTAGATGGGCTTTTGGAGGACCCTGCTACGGTGAGACTAGTTGGCATCTCCAACATACTGTAGTTTGATTTTATATGTTGTTTTTGGTAACAAAAATGTTTGGTTAAATCTTATTTTTTTTAACCATTTGTTTCTTTTCTTGTGGTCAGTTTGATCTAAGCCTTTACTGTAATGCTGGATGCTTGATTCAATTAAACATAATAATATTAACAAAAATAGGAATATCTAAGTTTTTTAAGATGTTCTAGTTTGTCTGTTTTGTCAGGGGGAGCCAACCAGGAGTGTGGTGTTTCTCATCTCCTACTGGGGAGATCAGATTGGACAGAAAGTTAAGAAGATTTGTGACTGGTAACTTAGCTCTTAAATCAACTTCCTACATTCTACTTGAGGTTATTCTGTTAATCAGTCTGGTTTAAATAACTTTGTGCTAAGCTAGCTGCCACATATCTGGGGCAGTTAACCACCAACGCGCTAACTGATTGCGTCACACTGCTCCTTTTTCATAAAGATTATAAATAGCTGTTACATTTAGGGGAAGCTTCATGCTTTCATTTCTTAATCTATTTTAATTCTTTCAGAGCATTTTTGTTCTTAAGAGAAAGTCGAAGTGCTGGAGTTTTGAAAATATTGTTTTTGTTTTCATAGCTACCACTGTCATCTGTACCCATACCCCAACAGTAATGAGGAGAGGACAGATGTGGTGGAGGGGCTCCGCACACGCATTCAGGACTTGCACACAGTGAGTCCAGATGAGCTCGGTTTCACCTAGGGGTGTGCGATATGACGCTTTTTGATCGTGGATGATAAAAATGTCTCCACGATCTGCTTTTGAAGAAATATCGTAGTATCGTGCTACAGCACACGATAGAGTTACTGTTACAGGACACTGCACTTATTCACAATCACAAAAGTACATTATTTGCATCTGCTTTAGAGCTGTTAAACATTTCATTCACGCGCTGTTCTGACGTGCGCTTTTTCTGAGGGTGTACAGCTGAAGCACACGCACTAAAAACCCTGTCAAACAGCTCCTGATTACTGGACTAAGTTAGCTTTTGCGCTAATACTGTCAAAACACACAAGGTTTACATACAGACTCAGTTGGTTATGTCTAAAATGAAAGTAAACAGTTAAGAGAAAGTCGGATACGTGCAGCTCTTAAAGGGACTGTACTAAACATGCTGCCGACTGTCATTAAAGGGATGGTTCACCCTAAAATTTAATTTCTGTCGTTATTTACTCACTCACATGTTGTGCCAAATCTGTATTTATTTCTTTATTGTGCTGAACACAAAAGAAGATATTTTGAAAAATGTGGGTAACCAAACAGTTGCTGGTCCCCATTAAATTTTATAGTAGGAAAAATACTATGAAAGTCATTGTGGACCAGCAACTTTTTTTCACGTTCTTCAAATTAACATTTATGTTCAGCAGAAGAAAGAAACTCATGCAGGTTTAAAACAACTTTTGAGTGAGTAAATGATGGTATAAAAATAAAACACTATGACAGATCTGACAGACGGATGACAGAATTTTTATTTTTGGGTGAGCTATTCCTTTATTAATAAAATAACAAAACACAAAGAGAAAAATCACTCACTAATCTTGACTGAAGAACTTTAATACAGTTGCTTTGCTATAATAATAATAAATCTATATAGTGTTTAATTTTATATTTGTTCATTCAATTTCTTGAAAATAAAGCACTGTTTTAGTTGTATATTATGTGTATTTGTAACGTGTATCTTTGTTCTTATTTTTTAATAGCAGATAAAATAATGAAAGCTTTTTATCTTCGCCCACCTTAGCCAAAAACTCTGCCATTCTTTTTTTTTTATATATTGTTACCTTGAAATGCTTTGTCTTTATAATAGGGAAATTAGTTTGGCTGTAATGCTCAGACAACTTGCAAAATAGTAAAACCAATATAACAAAGAATCGTGATAAAATCATGAATCGTGGTATTTAAAAAAAAAAAAAAAAAAAATCGTGATATGATATTTTTGCCATATCGCCCACCCCTAGTTTCACCCTTGTTACAGTTTGACACACACACTTTTTCTTGCTTTGACTGTGTGTAACATGATGAGGGTGTAAGTGTGCTCTCACTGGTGATATTAGTCATTTACTGACTTTTTTTTTAACCTTTATCTTAGTTACTAATAAGCTCAGCTTAATCTTAATTAAAGATAAAAAAAAAACATTAATGTTTAATTGTACTTTAACGTCTTCTGAAACTGACTGATGAAATCGGGGACAGTTGAGGTTGACTCAAAGCAACTTTGATGCACAAAATGTTCAAGCATCCTGTATAACCACAGTTTAGTCCTTACCAGGGAAGGCTGTAAGACACACCAGACGGTAAACTGAAACATCTGTCCTAGAAACTGTAACTTGACATTGTTAAATTCAGCAGCTAATTGTAATATAGATTTTATTGCTGGTTTTCAATAAAAGTTTAATAAAATTTACACAGACATGATCTCACTTGTTAGTTCAGAGAAGCAAAATATCTCTTTTCTTAACTGAATAAAAAGTACAAATTTCTTGTTTCAATAGTGCTTGAGTAAAGTGCAAATTCCTCGAAATAACACTTTAACAGGAATTATAGTAATGAAATGCATGAAGGTTTATGGAGTTTTGTGTCATGCACAGTAATAAATGATGGGCTGCAATTGTAGAAGGGCTTGATCGCGTTCTGTCTGTCTTTAGCAGTGGATGGCACTTCAGATACTCCAACCAAAAGAGCAGAAAGTGTACATAATAGAATCTACATTAGAATTATTTGGATTTAGTGTTGTAACTAATCTTTTCTAACCAGTTCTAGACAGCCATGCAGTGGAGGAATGTAGGGGGGGCAGGTTAGGTTTGAGGGCATTTAAGTTTGCTTGTGACTGCTCTGTAAAAGAGAGAAAGAAAATTGTGTTAGTGGCCCAACTCAGCCATGATGTTCATGAGGCCTAGGCTGTGGACAAATTTCTCACAGACTACAGGCACCATTAAATAATTTTTCGATACTTTGTTCTTACTCACTGTTCCTCTCAAAACCTATGAAAAGAGAACGGCTCACTCAATCCTTCATGAAAAGTAAATTGGGTTGTTTCTGTGCCTAGAAAATATTCCTTGATTGATTGAAGATAAGTTTGCTGAAGAGCACCGCAAAATGCTTTTACTGCATGCTCATCTGAGAACACAGTTCAGAAACCAGGGCAACAAAATGCCATGTATGGCTGACCTTGGGGGAAAATACACATTTATTTATTTAAGTTCCCCATACAGGCTAAAATATTTATTGCTGTAATTATGACAAAAAGCTTGTTTTCAAAATCTTATCCACACAAACTGAGAAATATATTACATTCATTTTGTGATTCCAGAAATTTCATAAACTATGTTCTTCAATAAAGCATGTAATTAGTATTATTACAGAGCTTTACATTAATATGCAATTTAAAAATAAATAAATATATTTCATTAATTTTAAGTCATCCTGCTGCCCACTTTGAAGTTTGCCAAAGCCTCCTGGTTGAACCACTATATGTTATGTTTCACACTTAAAACTTTACATGTGAAATGGTTTAGCTTGACATAGTTTTGAACATGCTCTTGAAACCATTGTTTCTTCGTAGGTTCTTCACCGGACTGAGGATTACCTGAAGCAGGTGTTGATCAAGGCCTCAGAGTCTGTGTACGTTTGGGTGATCCAGGTTAAGAAAATGAAGGCCATATATCACATCCTTAACCTCTGCAGTTTTGATGTCACAAACAAGTGCCTCATAGCTGAGGTGTGGTGTCCCGTAAATGATCTGCCCGCTCTTCGGAGAGCTCTAGAGGATGGATCGGTGAGTACTTGACATTATTTCGAAGGTGCACTAATTCAGATACATCTGATTAATAATTGTACACATATCTCTTAGAGGGATAGTTCACCCAAAAATGAAAATGTGTTGTTCCAAACCTGTAAGACCTTCATTCATCTTCAGAACACAAATTAAGATATTTTTGATGAAATCCGAGAGTTTTTTGTGCGAAAAGAAGAAAAATGACGCCTTTGTTCCACAATTTCTTCTCTTCCGTGTCAGTCTTCGACGCACAAATTTTCATTTTTGGGTGAACTATCCCTTTAACTCTGTTGTTTTGTTCCTTCAGAGGAAGAATGGAGCAACAGTTCCCTCATTTGTCAATCGTATCCCAAGCAATGACACTCCACCAACCCTCATACGCACCAACACGTTTACCTCAGGCTTTCAGAATATAGTGGATGCCTACGGCGTAAGCAGCTACAGAGAGGTCAACCCAGGTGAGAGGGTAGCGATTAAAAGCATTAAGTATTAAAATTAAAATTGACTTCATGTTAGCAGCTTTAACATGCCCTCAATGCTTCATATGTAATATTCTTAGATAAGATATGTAATCTTTCTTCTTTATCACACCTCCTCGCAGCTCCATATACAATCATTACCTTTCCCTTCCTGTTTGCTGTGATGTTTGGAGACCTCGGGCATGGCATCATCATGGCACTGTTTGCTCTGTGGATGGTTCTCTATGAGAATGACCGCAAACTGAAGAAAACCAGAAATGAGGTACATGCAGCTTGCTGTTATGACAGTGTTCATTTTCTTCTGAAATTCATTTAGACATGGTTGTTAAAAGTTATTTAGTCTAGTATTAGTTGACTGTTTTTGTTAATTTTGTTATAGTTTGATTAACATTGTTACTTTTTTTTTTTTTTTTAGATCTGGAACATTTTTTTCGAGGGCCGTTACATCATCCTGTTGATGGGTATATTTTCAGTCTACACTGGATTAATATACAATGACTGCTTCTCTAAATCACTCAACCTGTTCGGCTCGGGGTGGAACGTCAGCGCTATGTTTGTGCCTGGAGTCTGGAGGTGAGTGTCCAAAGCACAAAATATTGTGTACGGCATCCTTTATTTAAGCAAAAATAGAAAAAAGAACAATGTACTATACAGTATGTAGTGTGCAAAAAAAGTTTTAAAATATAGTATCATAAATTTCTTTAATGGATCTACAGCTATGGAAAAAAATCTCAGGAGAAAAGTTCTCTCAAAGAGAACACTTGAAAATGCTATGAGTTTGAGTAAAATGTTTTAAGGCCCGTTCACACCAAGCACGATAACGATAAAGATAGAGTAAAAATCGTTCTCAATATTAAAGAATAGCATAGTTCACACCACAACTATAATGATAACGATACAGAGGAACGATATCGTTGTGATCACTTTCAAAACGATTTTTTTCCCAGCTGATGAACGATAAAACACTGACAGCCAATCAGAATCCATCCTGCTGTAATGAGCTCAAGAATTTAAAGCGGCAGACGCATGTGCGCTTAGAATAAACAGACGATATCGTTCGCTAGTGTGGACGCTAATATCGTTATCAGATGTTTTCATTTGTTGTGATTGAAAATCAGGGTTATTCCACCAAATATTGATTTCTTAACTCTCCTGAAGTTAAAACATTGGTATTGTGTTGTCTAAAAATAAATATGAAGATGGCATCATTTTTGTTATTTTGACCAACTGTCATTTCATGCTCTAAATTACATTTTATTTTTATTTAAAGAATAAAATTATTTTTATTATTTATCTTTATGATCAAAGATAAGTTTTAAGAGATAAAATATTTGACTACAGGGCGACTCCCTGTAGTCAAATATTTTATCTCTTAAAACTTATCTTTGATCATCAAAATGACATATTTAAATGTTTTTTCTTGTGAAAATAATTTTCTCATTCCTTAAAATAGCTTGAATGTAACTCTACACCCTTGCCTCATTTACTATACGCTGATCTATGAATATGCAAATTAGTCCTGCCTCCACTCAACCAGCCAGCGCCTCCTGATCCACTGAACTGTAGTAAACGCAAAACAATGGCATACACGGATAATGACTGATAAAACTATCTTTTTACTAGCGGACAACTACAGTGAATACTGTAACATTCGTTAAAGTTACTTACTTGACGATATTGTGTCCTAAAATGCATTGAAGACCCGAATGCAGCCGTTTGTGATTGTTAATTCGCGCCCGCGAGCATACGCATGTGAAGTGCAGACGCTGCTGCGGGAGAGGTGCGTCTGACTCCGGGCTACTTTTACACTGTTGCCACGGGTTATAATGCAAGTTAGTGGTTCTAAATTCACATTAAACCACAGCTTCATGGGTTTTTTGGTCTAATTTATTTTTGGTTTTGTGCTGGTATTGGTATATTTTGCATGCTAGTGATAGGAATCGATCCCTTGACGTGATTGGTTATTGGTTTGTGACATAGCAAACCGAGGGCTGTTTCAAACCTCATTTCTGGGTCAGTCTTTGGGAAACTACAGTTTTAAGGAGAAAATACTCCGCAATGGTGTTGATTAATAGATTGGCACATGGTTTGTCTAAAGGCATATTAAAAACACCATATAGACAAATAAACAACATAAAAAACTCATTTTTTCACTACAGGGGGACTTTAAAAGTTGAAAGAAATTTTATCAGTAATTTACGGAATAAAACAAAAATTGTTTTACTCAAACGCATACCCATAAATGGCAAATTCAGAGAAACTATGAATTTTCAGTGGTCTCTTAATTTTTTCCATAGCTGTATCTAACAAATATTTTGAAATGTAGGTACAACCTTTCCTGTTTCCATAGAGATTAAATCAAGGCTTTACTAAAGCACATTTCATTTATCAGCTCATTGTAAAGCCAGTTGTTATCCTGGCAGTTGAACCCGAGTTCACACATAAGAGGAAGCCAATTCTAACAATGACTGTGTGTCTCATGATGCTATGTTTGAAGAGGTTTATTCTATATACACCAACATTCAAAAGTTTTAGGTTATTCAGGAGGGGCACATTAAAGTGACAGTAAAGACATTTATAAATTGTAGTAATATTAACTATATTACTGTTTATTGTATTTTTGATCAAATAAATGCAGCCGTGGTGAGTTGTAGTGTAATTGTGTGGAGATTATGCAGATGATCATCACAATTTCATTTATTACCTCACCGTAGGGAACAACAGCAGGCACAGAGATTTCTCATGTACAGTATGTGGCTCTAATGTGATCTTCATTTTCTCTTTCTCTCAAGTCCAAGTACACTCCGCTCAAATAGCTTCCTTGCACTGGATCCAAACGTCACAGGAGTCTTTAAAGGGCCCTATCCTCTGGGCATTGACCCGGTAGGTCTCTGCCTTCATTTTATTACTGTGTTATCAAACGAAACTATCACATCACCATAAAAACAAGTAACAGTGGGTGAAAGGTTCCATGGGTGAATGACAAGCTATGATTTTTTTTAATCCTTATAAAATATATCATTAGTTTTAAAATGAAGTTTAAGAATATTTTATTTGCACTCTGTAGATCTGGAACCTGGCATCCAACCGTCTCACCTTCCTGAACTCCTATAAGATGAAGATGTCTGTGATCATAGGAATAATCCACATGACTTTTGGAGTCGTCCTTGGCGTTTTCAATCACCTGTGAGACGTTTTAAAAGATATTTTCGATAGATCCATTTCAAATGTATGACTTTGATCCTTCTAATACTTCTGTTCAGGCACTTCAGACGGACATTCAATCTGTACCTGATATTTATTCCTGAGCTGCTCTTCCTGCTCTGCCTCTTCGGCTATCTGGTCTTCATGATCATTTATAAGTGGCTGTTTTTCACAGTCAGAGACTCTCAGACAGCTCCCAGCATTCTCATCCACTTTATCAACATGTTCCTGATGCAGGGGGACTCCAGTCAGCCCCTCTACCCAGGACAGGTGGGACTGAAAGAACCGTACATGCACCCATTCCACTTTACATGCACCTCTGTGTTTCTTTACATGTATTTTCCCTCTTTCCCACAGGCTGGGTTTCAGGTGTTCCTGCTGATTGTGGCTGTGCTCTCTGTGCCTGTGTTACTCTTGGGCAAACCTCTCTACCTCTACTGGCAACACAAGGGCAGAGACCACTTGAGCATGTACCGGGTGAGGATCCTTGTTTTGTTAGTGTGTGTTCTGCAGTTGGCTGAAAGCCGTTGGCTGAGTTTCTCTCTCTGTAGGGTTATCAGCGTGTACGGCGGAGCAGTGAGGAGGAGCTCTCTCTCATGCATGCCCATGATGTGGAGGAGGGCACCAGTCTGGACAGCCACTCCTTCAGCTCTGACAGCCAATCAGAGGAGGTAAGACATTCAGAATAGGGGTGGGCGATATACCGGTAGACATGATTAACCGGTAGAAATTTGTCAACCGGTAGAGATTTTATTTTGGACTATGATCTTTATTGCGGTTATGCACTCACATCAGGTTGCAGTGCACTGTGGTCATGAAATGTATTGTTTGCACACATTTTTAAGCGAGTGACTTTAAGCTGTTTAAATGCAAACAACAGCATTATATATGCGTGCGCTGTCTATGAGACTGTTCTGAGCACGATCTGCATAAATCCTACATGAATCTGCTGCACATAGAGTATGTGAGTATTTTTGTTGCTTTATTGGCCTTGTACGGTTAAATACACATACACAACGTATTCTCATAAACACAGTAATTTAGGTCTTAAGTGAAACAGTAAACAGCTGAAACAGTAAACAGCTGAAAGAAAACATGTGTAATAGTATATTGGATCTGGGTAGCTCTTAAAGTGACAGCAGTCTAATATTGCTCTTTAAGTGACAGCAGTCTAATATTCCTGGTGTCATTCATGTTAATCAAACAACAAAAGAGAGAAAATCTCTCACTGCTCTTGACTAAATCACTTTTGTAACTTAATACAAAATTTAATTTACACAATGAAAACTATGCAGTGTTTTTGATGAATTTATACAATGTATGTAGTAGGGCTGTCAAAATGGCTGAAAAACTAAATTCGAATTTTTTACTTAAATATTAGACAGCCCTAGTATGTAGCATTTATTTATTGTAGTTTTTGTCCTGTTGCTTGAAATTAGTTACTTACCTTCAGTGAGCTTGAGTTTTTCCTTTTTTAGGCTTGAATTCGTTTTTCTGTGAAATTGACACGGGTGACAAGATTTATGAAAATTCTATGGCATCAAAAACTTTGATAACTTAACCATGTTAAAAGCAAAAATAACTATATTGTGATATGTATCGTTATCGTGATATAAAATTACTCATATCGTGCTATAAGATTTTGTTCATATTGCACACCCCTAATTTAAAACTAATTCCGTGCATCGTTTGGTGTGAATAAACTGCTTCCCCTATGAGCCTAACAAAGTTTCCTCTCTTCCACAGTTTGATTTTGCTGATGTCTTCCTCCATCAGTCCATCCACACTATAGAGTACTGCCTGGGCTGCATCTCTAACACTGCGTCTTACCTCCGTCTGTGGGCTCTCAGCCTGGCACATGCCCGTGAGTAACATACCCTTCAGTGTAGTAAATAATAATAGTTTATAAAATACACAGAAATCAAAGGTCATCATTAAAACCTGCCAAAATAAAAGTTTGTCTAATAATTGAGCAATAGAATGTTCTTTTTAAAGTAATTATGATAATAATAGTAATAATAATACTGAAAACATAATTTTTAAGGAATATCACTAAATTCATTTGATTACATTTTAAAATATGAACTAAATTGTTTATAAATGTATTTAATTACCACCGTTTTTGATAGTAAATTTGTATTTAACGTTATAATGTTTGTTTTTTTCCCTGTGTAATCCTGACAGTAAAATAAGCCACTATAAACCTATACAAAGGTCCAGGCATGCAAAGACAAAAATACAGTGATATACCTTGAAACCAAATTCTTAAAAATACTGTAATACAATTTTTTTTGTAATACTGCCCAGCACTACTTGAATGACTATCTAATCTTTTTTTTTTTTTTTTATAATCTGTAAACTGAAATATTTCCTCATTTTTTTTATTGACGACTACAGTTTTATAGTTAAATTTGTGATTAATTTAATATATTCAGCACATCCAATGTGTGTTAATAAAAGAGTTTGAAACAAGCCGCTTTATCATAATTACAGCAGAAATACTGGGTGAAATGTTTAGCCTACATAGGACCTGTAAATGATTGTTTTGGACAATTAGAGGCCTTTAATTGCTTTTAAAAACGGCATGCTGAACATGTTTTGTTGTGGTCCAGAGCTCTCTGAAGTGTTGTGGGCGATGGTGATACGGGTGGGTCTGCGTGTGGACACCAGTGTGGGCATTGTGTTCCTGGTGCCTGTTTTTGGTCTGTTTGCTGTCCTCACTGTGTCCATCCTGCTGGTGATGGAGGGACTTTCAGCCTTCCTTCATGCTCTCAGACTCCACTGGTCAGTACAATCCTCAGTATATATTCAAACATGGCATGAATTTATACTGAATGATTCAAACTGAAATCACCTCTCTCTCCTCAGGGTGGAGTTCCAGAATAAGTTCTATAGCGGCGCTGGCGTCAAGTTTGTACCATTTGCCTTCTCTCTCTTGCACACCAGCTTTGAAAACGAGGGGTTGTTGTGAACTGTGGCACGCTAAACACCAGACCAGAGCAGATCTGTGAGCTTCATTTGAACAGGTTTACACGTTGCACTACATGCCAAAGTGGTCCAACCAAATACTCTTTATAGGGAGATACCAGATCAGCATTGACGATACTGAGCCACATCAGATGCTTGAACATTTTGGGACATGCAACCGTAACACAAACACGCTGAGAAAAAAGAAACAGCTCTGGACTGTAAATAGGACTCTTGAGTGCTTTTTTTATGTGTTGAATGTATTAGCTCTTCACAAAAGTGCTGTTTGTGAATATCATTTTTCTATCATGCCTGTTGACTGTGCAGAGATCGTTGACTCTCCATAGCTGAGCACATTCCATGAGTGACTTTGAGGTTTAACTTTTTTGTTTATTGGCAGTCGAGCAAGTGATTTAACGGCTTGTTTAAATTCCAGCATTTTCATCCTCCATATGGCTCATGTAGTTCATTCATAGTGTTGAATGGAACTGTGCTTCGATAACAACAGATATAACACAAGCAGGAGTTCGTACTTTTGGGCACAGTATTTCTCAGATGTTGGCAACAAGATGCTCAGAAAGGGCAACAATGACTTGCCTAAACGTTAGCCCAAATGTGTTCATTCTTCATGTTGATTAGCCCAGATCTCGTTTCTGTTGGGCTGTATAGTTTGTTTCAAATCCTGCTGCAGCTGATCTTCTTTCTGTTTGAAAAATCTCCTCAAGAACCTCTTCTAGCCCACAGGAGGCTCAGATATTTCTACGTGCCTAATATGCTGAATGTATTCTGATGGGTGGGTGGTGGATTTAATTTTTCAGATGAAGTCATTTAGAATTGAATTAATTTAATGAGGAAATGCATTGTATCATTGTGTTGGTGTTCAGGGCGAAACTCTCAAAGTGGTTTATTTTTAATTGTATCATAAATGGAGATGTTTTTAGTGATTTTTAACCTGCAGATCTGTTCAGTTACTCTGTTCTGCTTCTCCACAATGGTCCTTTTTTAAACTCTTGAATTTAATGTGAGATTTTGGTGTGTGGATTGTGAGCCACTGAATTCATTCCAGTTTTTAAAAATGTATTAACAGTACTTACTTTGATTTCTATCTATCGTTTGACGGGTCTGTTTACATTCCACATTTTGCATATGAGCTCTATATTAACATTATACAATAAAATCAAACCTGTGAAGCTGGGGTAATAAAACTGTTTGATTAAATGACTCGATTTGATATTTTTGAGCAAAGGCTTTAATACAGTGCCACTAAAAAGAGCGCCCATTTGTAAGACCTAATTGTTTCTTTTCTGAAATTGTAACAACTTTTATTTATTCCTTTATTTATATCCAATTTAATTCACAAACAATTGATTTAGCTTTTTTTATTTCATTTTTAGAACATTCTAATAGTATTAGTCCTTCAGTGGTAACGTGGTTTTCTCTATAGTTATGATTTTACAATCTCTCTATTACCAACTCAGATTTTGAACCTGCGAACCATGTAACAAAAATGTAAGACTTTGTTTTTATAAATAATCTTAGGGAAAATGACATTTACATGTATGGGTGGGGAACGTGTGAACAAACATAAACCCTCAATTGTTATATTGCGCTTCATTCCATGCTTTAGGGATGATCGGGGTTGACTTAAAATTCTACACAAATCATCACACCCCCTTCAGTCATTCTGCATTCCTAACGAATGTATATAGACATGAAAAGTGCCTGCCAGTATCCAAGTCAGGGAGTTTTAATAGAAAATATTAACATTTCTAATCATACATTGACAGCTTGTCAAAAATGAAACTTTGACTAGCTGGATCAGTTGAAATTAAAATATCCATTTACAAGTAAACCTCTTGGTTAAAATTCAGGTTTTTACCAAAAACAGCATTTATTAGGATGGCATGGCATCATTACTTCTGTTTTCTTCATAATAGTAATAATAATTACGGTTATCACGAAATACATAGAGTGGCGTGAGTGCAAAATAAGACCTCCAGCCTAATTCTACACTTTGACAGCAATTAGAAATAAAGTGAGAACTGATCTCCAGTGATGTCAGGTCTGAATCCACTGCTTTAGAACTTGATAAACATAAAAGAAATACCGTAGATTTGTTTCTGTTATACAACTTTGTATCAGTTTGGGGCTACAGTTTCATAGTGCTCAGCAAAACAACAGAAATCCTTTTTTTTTTTTTATCACTCCTGAGTCCTGATGATTTATAACCTTAAGAAGAAATTTAAAAGCGGTCTTTCTGTTACAAAGTACTGAAATTACCAGTTTTAAAAAAAATTACTACAATGTACTTCTCTATCACCATAATGTAATGTGAACTATCAGGAACACTTGGGTGTTTTAATCTGCGTTCTCTACTGCTAATAAATACAAGCATGCTATGAACATAAAACAAGGTCAGCAAGCTGTTTGCTTGTGTTTTCAGTATCACACTTTGTAGTTTGATTGTTTGCTATGTCCTCGGAGTGAGTCAAGCGGGTGACTTGTTTATTTTTATTAGTTGATCGTTCATTCATTCATTAAGTATCCTGATTGTACAAAATAGTATATCTTTTTTTTAATTGCATTGATATGCATTGTACTGTGGCAGTCACAGTAACATGATAATGACCACTGGGGGCTCCACTGAGCCAATGCAGGAAGCAGCTAATTAATGTGCATGACAATTCATGGGTGTAAAACACATTTATGTCCAAATACCTGCACTGTCCAATACAACAGACACAAGGGCTCTTTTAATGCTTGCCTGAAGCTCATTGGTTAACTGAAGACACCAGATGAATCTTTACTGTTATTTGCTATGCAAAGGGGGCGGAGCCAGGGAGAAAGTTGTTTCCAATAAGAGCCTGATTGTGCTCATGGGATATACAAATACAAGAACTTCCCTTGCCCAAATATGGTACTGTTGTTGATATGAAACTAAAAGAAGTACACAAGCTGAACAATCAGACAATTCTTTGAAATGTTTCAGCTGCGTTGTGTTAAGTTGAGTGAGTCTCCTTCATATGTGAGTTTCTTCATGTGCTGTCCAGGCCAGCATCTTTGATATGATCTCTTTATAAACAAGACTCAGTCCAGTGTACTTCACTGCTGGGAAGAGAGGAAAGTGCATTTGTGATGGTGTTGTACTGAATAAAAAGAACCTGATTTGCTTTGGAAGATAAACTGGGGCGGCACTTGACTAAGAGTTCAACTGCGCATTTCTCCCACACACTCGTTTTTGAGGTGAACTTCAGAGAGAACATTCTTCTGTTCTCCCATTTTAGTAGTCTGTTTAAGAGTAGGGCAAGAATATATGTCATTGGGCTGCAAAAACACACACTTAAACAAACACACACACACACACACACACACACACACACACACGCGCGCTCTTAAGAGATCAATCAGCGCAGGTGTCTCCACTACCTCTGCAGTCCCAAGGCCCTGATGAGTCCATGTAGAGGGTTTATAGCTTTTGTCTTTGTCTGTCTGCAGAGTTAGTCAATTGTTTTGCGTGTTCAGAAGATATCGGGACTCATATTCCAGGCTTGTCTTTCTTTGGCCTCCCAGTAACCCCCCTTATAAACGTAAATAGTCTCTCCCGTCAGTCCATCCGTCCTCTGGTGGAACCACAGCGGCATGTAGCTTTCAAAGTCCTGTCCTGTAATGCAAAACAACAATAACATCACCAGGAGAACAGCTTGAACTGTGGCACAAAAGTTGTGGTTGACAAATGGAATTTATAGTTTCATGTAGGGGTGTGCAATATATATCATCTACAATAATATCGTAATTGTTGTTTAAAAGATATGCGATTTGACATTATCGAGTATATCGCAAAAACAAAACAAAAACACACCCACAGGGTGCACACATACACTATAAGATGTAGGTTAGACTACTACGCGGGCACATTTAGAGTGATTTAGTCTATTAAAATTCATTTAGAATTCCCCCAAAATTCAAGATATGGGAATATGCCCACATGTGACTTTTATATGTCTTTTATATTTATATCATGTGGTATAGAGTACATTTTTTCTCCAAATATCGGTACGATTGCAAATGTGATATTTATTTTATAAAACAGTCCAATAAACAAGTTTAGTTCAATACAAAATAATATTCAATAAAAAATAATATTCAGTGAATATTAATTGACTTACATTTTAGACTCAATTAGACTGTTTTTGCAGCAATGCAAATAATAACACCCCTAGTTTCATGGTTTTCAAAACTTCTACATCGACACAATGTCACAGAGATGTGACCATCTTGTGTGACCTTGGACCTCCGCTCACCTTCATCGATGGCCTTTGAGGCCTCAGCTTCTCTCCTCCTCCTCCTGGCTCTCTGTTTTTCCTCCAGCCTCTGCTTCTCTACGTTGGCCTCGTCCCAGCGTCCCGCTTCCATCAGCCGCTGGTCCGGCCTCAGCCTGCTGTCCGTCCAACACACACCCTCCTCTTCCTCATTCAGGGTCAAAGCCAGAGCGGAGAAACAGTACATGTTCTCAGCATTCTCTCTGAGAGATAGAGAGGAGAAGAGAATGAGAAACAAATGCAAAAATTATCTGAGAATCTAACTTTATAATTTGATCTGCAAGGCCACCTTTAGTTAAGTAGGAAGTGAAGAAGGTATTTCTGCAGGTAGGCAATTTTGGTCTGTCAGTAATGAGTCTGGTAGGTATGTTGTTTAGACTGTAGGTACTTTGGCAGGTAAGTAGTAGAAGATACCAATGCAATCACTCTTTTGCCAACTCTGGTATTTCTCCTGCTCTTTTTCTAGCAAAAATAGCCAGATTCGGATGGTAATTGTTTCTCATGGGGACGTAAGGGATTTTCAACATTTACAGGGGTTGGTGATTTTATTGCTGTCCGAATACAGAATGCCAGTGTTTTTCTCCCACCACCCGCGTACAAATCCCTGGCCAAATTACCAAATTAGAGAAGAAAAGCATGTAAACATTTTACAAACAAACCTTTCTTTGGTAATTGATCAAGCAGACTTGCTGGAATATTACATCTCCAAACAGTAATTGCTGAATTGATTAAGTTTTAAAGGGGATGTACTCATTTACGCTGAATACTGTAGTTCTGCAGATAGTCTGGCAGGTAAGTAGCTACCTACATAATGAGCAACTTACCCAGCACACTAACTACTAAACTACCTTTAGACTTATGGCGCTTTTCCACTGCGTGGTACGACTCGGCTCGGCATGGCACGGCC